TCTCATTCATATTTATTTCTCAATTAAAAAAACATAAAAAAAAAGAACCACTCAGTAGATACTGTATATTTAACTCCTGAACACACTGGGTCATTCCCTAAGTCAGGTCTTCATCACTGACTTAACTGTTGTCACTAAATGATTTCCTTACTGCCCACATTATATTAAGAGTTGCTGGGGCTGGAGAGATGGCTCAGTGGTCTAAAGCACCTACTTGGAACAAGCTTGGCAAAGCACAGGGACCGCGGTTCAATCCTCCAGCACCACATGCCAGCCAGCCGCGCCCCCTGGTGGGCTGAGCTGGCCACACACACACACACACACACACACACACACACAATAAATAAATGTTAAAAAAAAATTCCTGTCTCAAAAAAAAAAAAAAAAAAAAAAAAAAGAGTTGCAATGGCAACTGTGTTCCTTTATAAAGTAGTACAAGCTACTTTAAAATACAAACTTTTGCTGGGTGTGATGGAGCACGCCTATAATCCCAGCATGAGGGAGGCTGAGACAGGAAGATCATTTCGAGTCTGGGGCCAGCCTTGGGCTACAAACAAAGTGAGCTCAAGGCCAGCCTGAACTACACAGCGAGACCCTGTCTCAAAAGACAAAATTCAGGGGCCAGGGACCAGGGAGATGGCTCAATGAAATAAGCGCTTCCCTTGCAAGGGCAAGGGCAAGGGCCTGAGTTCAACCCCTGGTTCTGAGAAAAAAAAAAAAAAAAAAAAAAAAAAAAATCAGGGGCCAGGGAGATAGCTCAGTAGAAAAAGCGCTTGCCTGGGAAGTGCAAGGGCCTGAGTTCAATCCCTGGTTCTGCAAAAAACAAAACAACAAAAAAATAAATAAAATACAAACTTTCAGTCTCTCTGCCTCCTAACCTCTCACCCTTAAATCACACACCACTCACATTTCCACATTTTCTTTTTTTTCCATTTCCACATTTCCCCTGCACGTTTACATACGCCCATCACGATACTCTTGCTGATCCTTTCCTCAACCATGAGTTCATTTTTTCCCTGCACTGGCAAACTAGCTTAGCTTTTAAGAACCTATTCAAAATCACCTTGTATTAACTCACAGCCCCAAGTAGTTCGCCCAGCTTTCCACGGTTACCAACTATTATGTCCTATATTTTATCTTATTTTTATTTATTTATTTTTGGTGCCAGGGATCAAACTCGGAACCAGGCAGGCACTTATCTCACTGAACTATATCCCCAGCCCAGTTTTGCATTTTTGAGACAGGGTTACATTATGGAGTCCAGACTGACTTTGAACTGGAAGCAATCCTCCTGCCTTAGCCTCCTGAATGCTGGGGGTGTAGGTGTGCACCATGCCTGGTTTTACTGTTTAATACTTATTTCATCTGAAGGGTGTTTCCTATTATACTGCGAGTTTCCTGAAGGTAGAGGCTGTGTCTGCCCACTTCTCTCTTTGTAGTGTTGGGGACTAAACCCCAGGCATTATGTATGCTAGACAAACACTACTACTGAGCTACAATACTAGCCCATTACTCGCTTTATTACAATTCCCAGTGTTTGCCATTATGTCTGATATATAGCAGTTCTTCAATAAGCATGTTAAATAACTGCTCTCCAATAAGACAAACCTAAGCACACAAGGGTGACAGGCCTTGTGATGCGGAGGGTTGCATAAACATTTGGAGAGAACTGGATCCTTTCAGCTGATCGTCTGATAACAGCCCCTCACCCCAACCTGCACATCCCCCCCGCCCCCCCCAAAGAGAAGCCACTTAAAAGAACTGGCTGAAGGATACTCGCGCAGGTCTTCGCGGCTGCTACAAATCTGGATGTGGGGGTGGAGTCTACACTGCCACTAGAGAGACCCTGGAGTAAAAATGTAGCAAAGATTTCCTTGCCACTCCGGGCGGCCCGAGACACAGCCCCGAACCCCACCGCGCAGCCCCTCCTTCCTCTGCACCCAGCAGCGGGGACTCGGCTTTTCTGCCCCGCCCCCTCTTTCTTTCCACCCCTCAGTATTTCCTCCCGCGGATCCCCTTCATAATCGGGACGTTCTCGCCACCAGGACTTCTAGGTCGTAGATCCTCTGGGCCCCGGCCCCCCACCACTCTATGACCCCTGACCCTCTTCTCTAGTTCGCTCTTACTGTCCAGATAATGTTCCAAATACATCCCAGCAGCCATCTTGAAGCAAAACAAAGCGACTTCCGACCTGCCCCGGAAGTGACTGGAACAAGACAGGAGTTGGAGCAGTTCTTAACTCAGATTCTTTCCGCCCTTAAAGAAAGCACTTCCGCCCTTAATGAAGACCCAGCCGGACACACCCGCCCGACGGTGAACTGTCTCTTTGGCATGTGCATGCACGACTGCTCACGGCGAAGCTGCTATAACCCGCTTCCGCCCCTACTAAGACTCCAGTCCGCGACCGAAACAGGTATGACGTCACGGCAGTCGCCATTTTGCATTTTCTAGCAAACTTTTTTTTTTCTTCCCTCCAAAAAGGGGAAGATATGGTGATGGTGGGTAAAACGGTCCCACGGAAGATTATGGCAGATTATGAATCTTCTAACCAGAGCAGGTCCTGGATAAAGTGACTTCTCTAAAGCAGCTAATTTAAGGATTTGGAGTTACCAGGCCTTGCAAATTTAAACCCTGTTGCATTTCTTTGTACCCATGCCAACAGCTTCACATATTATCATTACTTTGGTACTGGCGATTGAACCCAGGGCTTCACGAATCTTTTTTTCCCTCCCAGAACTGGGGATTGAAGCTTCACGGATCTTAAGCAGGCCCTCAACCCCTGAGCTATACAAGTCATTATTTTAAAGTTTTCTTCGTTAAAGTACAAAAACTACACAGTACTGCCTGTCAGTTCCTTAACTTTGTACTCAGATACCTTCACAAATAAGAAAACATAACTTCCGACCTTCCCCTCACCTGTTTTACGAGACGCTTCTCCCACCCCTTTTGGTGATGGAATTAGAACACTGGAATGGACACATGCTAGGCAAACGCTCTACCTGAGTATATCCCAATTCATTTATTTGAATTTATGTGTTATGTTAACGTGATTCTGAAGGGCCTGAGACATTGCGCTGCATCACACAGATACAACACTTAGATGCCACACATTATTGTAGTCATCTATAATGCAGTAAATATTTCATCACCATAAAGGTCAAGCGCATGGCGGGCCATCACTAGGGAAGTAGAATTCAAAGCCAATAGCATCTTGGATTCAGGTGTTACCCTTAATTCACAATCCTTCATTATAGCTGATGTCACACGACAGGCTTTTAATGACAGATTTTTCAGTCTTACAATGTTGAGCCACTGTGTAACGAAGGGCCAAGTGAGTTTTTTCCTTGTAAACAGGTGCTAAGATGCAGCAAGACACTCAACCTCCATCGGAGATGTCATGCCACTGAACTGGTTGGATGTCACATCCTTGGTATTTCTTTTCTATACAATGAATGCGATTCCAGCTCAAATCTGGTGTTGAAAAGGCAAACACATATCTAGTAACATGTGACTCTTGTGTCACACTACATACTGACACAATAGCTCTGCCTGGCCCCCAACGAAGTAGGTACTACTTATACACCCCCCACTAGGTACTGAATACCATCAGCTAGCAGTACTAGGCATGCAACCAGTTTTCAGATGTGAACCCAGTAGCCTCTTTAGTACTCAAAAAGTTTTTTTTTTTTTTTTCCAGAACCAGGGATTGAACTCAGGCCTCCGCGCTTGCCAAGGAAGCGTTTATTCTACTGAGCCATCTCCCTGGTCCCAGAAGTTTTCAATTTTACAAAAGCAATCTTAGTAGCTTAACTCACAACAGGGCCATAATTTGTCTTACTGCTGGGTAGCTCTGAGCTACTGGTGGGAACACAAGGGAAGCAGCAACATGGCAAACTGTGGTCAACGGCAGAGGCAAAGTAGAAAGCCTAGGCTTTCTGACAGTATTCTACTCCTCAGTGCTCACTTTGCCAGGACATTCACTAAAACTGCTCTCAGAACCCGCCTGTATGTGGGAGGGGAATGTAATTAGCACTATGTGACACTTGGCATGGAAATTTTGGCTTTTTTAAGTATGTAATTCAGGCTGCTTTGTAAGTCTTGGGGACTTTACTGTCTCAGCCTCCAGTGCTGGGATTATAGGCATGAGCTCTAATGCCCAGCTTCAGTGTTTCACAATGTTCATCCAGCTGAGCCCACCATCTATGATTTCCACTGCTAAAAACATTTGGTTTTATGTGGCAAAGGCTACTGAACATATGCATGTGTACATATTGCAAGTAATTGGGAGGCTGAGGCAGGAGGTCCTTTCAAGGGCTCAGGTGTATTTCCTAGTTGTTTCATATGGGGAACACAGTTGTTTTATTAGTTCTTCACTGAAACTTCTCACACATTTAGGCCGTGTAGTCTTCATGACAGAATCTACATATGGAGGTCTGTACAGATCAGTATTCGTTCACCAGGGAATGAAGATGTGCCTTTGTATAGCTGTGGAGTCACACGGGGGTCTCAGCACACCAGCATTCACTCCTCACACTATGTAGACTCATAGAGCCTCAAATGTGCCCAGAATAGCATCTCCCATGTTTATTCACATCAGCAGCTCCACTGCCTGTGATCCTTTTACATGAATTTATTTCTATACAATGTTCTAAAAACATCCCTTGGTTTGTACATAAGATTTTTTCCTCCATTTTTAAATTGCTGTATAACAACTGGTTTCCTGATTTTTTGTTTTCTCTGAAAACTGCTATGATTAAAAAAGAAAAAAAAGGCAAAAGGAAATAAAAATGCCGTGGCCAGAGGACAGGGTAAATTTTTTAAAAAACAAAAATAAAATAAGACATCAAATATGAAAATTCTCAGAGATAATGCATTTATAAACACAGAAATGGTT